TAGTTCAGACTATTTTAATGATATTAATGAAAATAATATTATTAAACCAACCACAGTATATCCACAAATTACTTATAATATGCCAAAAGCATTTGGATATCAGAATTCATAATATATATTTCTATTAATTTCGTTATTCATCCTGTATATATTAACCATTATGTACCTTTTGTTGTTAAAATTGAAAATAATTATTACTGACTGATATTATTAATGTAATAAAAACATTATAATAAAGCAAACGTTTTTTTATTATCTAAGAGTTTACGTACTGATTTCCTGAATTCTATAACCTACCTGCTTATTGCTCGTTAACAACTAATTATCGTCTTTTGAATATTTAATCTATATTACATTACAGGAGTTCTTTATTTGTTACTTTATTCATATAATTTAAATTTAAATATTTGGCGGTCCTAAATTGCCGCCCACCTTTTGCATAATGGCCGCCTGTTACCAACTTTCAAATAAAAGAATACCATTTAGTTGGTTCGGGAACGATAGCCACTGCCAACTGTTCCAGAAATACCGCCAATTATACGACAACCTTTGAGTCGTTTGTCAGTTAATGTAGTTAACGTACTAATGTGGGACTTTAATTAATTTGTGAAAAACTAAATTATCTGAAAATACTGAACCTCCCTTCAAGGATTTTTCAAAGGTACGTCAAAATTTATTCTCTATGACGTTTAAAATGCGCAAACTCCTGTAACATGGCTGTGCTTATCTGTAGGACATTACCAACAATGATCGACCACGATCGATATTGAAGAATGTGACGTTTTTGTTTTTATTCCAGTATTTTAGGTACATTTACCTGTGTAACAACGTGTAGTCGTGTCTTCTGAAATTAAAAAGTGCAGGAAATATTACAAAATTTCGGTTTCGGCGCTACCAGACATGTTTTTGTGCTAAATGTGAAACATACACGCAGGTGCGTACGCAGCCGTACTAATAATTTTAACTGGGCCTGCTCAGGCGGTTGAAAACGCGCGATGCGCCAAAACTAAATTATTTTAACAAATTTTAATAATTCGAACAGTATTCTCATTTTTTGTTTATTGGATAATTATTTATTTGTTAATGAAGTACACTGGAAGCCATTTTACAATGGTCACCATCCGCGCCAACCACCTTGTTATCTTAATCGTTCTATCGCTAAAACAGTGAAAAAGCAAAAAAATTTTGAAATCGTAATGTTTATATTCCATTGAATCATCAAAATGTTCATTTGAAACTTATTAATTTACCCAAATTCTAACAAATTATGTCAATGTTGTAAGGGGCAAGGGGAATTGAGTCAATTATTGATTTTAACAAATCTGTGCATCTACTACTGATGTTTACATATGTAATATTTGAAAGATCTGCCAGGATCTAATTTTATTTTTTATATCACAGTTTTACATTTATTATTGTTAATTTAGACTACTAACTTCAATTCGATTGTTTTGAATGTCTTGCATTGCAAAAATGCTTTCTCAGTGTAAATAACAAGTCACATTTGTTGAACGTTGTTATTGGTTATTGTTTTAAAATTAACTAGTGTGAAGATGTAATAATAAAGTTTGCTAGTGTTAAAATTAATAGCAAATTAGTTAAATTCAGCAGTGGTAATGGAGAAAAGTGAATATTTCATATGTTTTTGAAATATTTAGTGGTGATAACTATGAAATATGTGAAGGATCAAAATCAACTTTAGTTTCGTTAATTAGCCAGTTACATGATGAATGAACTATGTCTCATGTAAATATATATTTATTTGAACCGATTGTTGATGTTATTTATTGTAAAAATATTGAATTGCTACACAACCTAACCCTACTTTTACCGGCCCTTTAATGAACCAAGTTATCTGCTCTTTGCCCATTGATTCATCATATTAATTAACAGAACAGTAAATGTAAAATTCTTAAATATGTATAAGTGTTAAATGAATTGATCTGCTAATTTTGGTTTTAAAGGGGTGTATTACTAACTACAGAAACTTCAAACTATGTGCAAGTTATATAGATATTTTGTATCATATTGCAGGTGATTGGTTTGAAAATGTGTATTCTAATCTATTCGCTTCACAAAAATGGCATGGGTGTTTCAAAAAGCTGAACTGTTCAGTTGTTTCTACTTTCTTCCTTCTAATTATGTAAGCATTAATTTTAGTGCTAGTTTAAAGAAAATTGTTATTTTCATTTTTTTTTTTCAGCTAAAGGGGACCAGAACCCTTGAGAAAAATTAGGGGTATAATGAATAATTCCAATAATCAGAATAATTCAAGTGTATCTGAACAAATTGCAATGGTTGTGGCATCACCTTCTGGTTTATCTGGAGTTTCAGATGATGACGAGCACTGCCCTTCTTCACCGGAGTCCACCTATGAAGAAGGTGCAGATCTCATGAGTGCTGCCATGGGAGATGAAGTAACAGCTCAACTGGCAGCAGCAGGTAATACATCCCATTTATCAGTGTGAATATAGGAGATTAAAGCAATCCTTGTTTTTAGGTCCAGTTGGGGTAGCTGCAGCAGCAGCAATAGTTTCAGCGAAAAAACGAAAACGGCCACATTCTTTTGAAACAAATCCATCAATAAGAAAAAGGCAGCAAAATCGGTTGTTAAGGAAATTGCGGGTTAATAAGAAACATTCAAGAATCTATTCATTTTCTTATTGGTTTATCTTATATTTTAGCAAACCATAGACGAATTTGCAACTCGGGTTGGTCAACAAGCCATTGTATTAGTAGCCACACCAGGCAAACCAAATACGAGCTATAAGGTGTTTGGGGCTAAGCCATTGGAAGATGTTATCAAAAATTTACGGTCTATGATTATGGAAGAACTGGAAAATGCGTTGGCACATCAAGCTCCTCCACCAGTCCAAGAAGATCCCACCCTTTTTGAACTACCTCCGCTTATCATCGATGGTATTCCTACCCCCGTTGAAAAGATGACACAAGCCCAGCTTAGAGCTTTCATTCCTTTAATGTTGAAATATTCCACGGGGAGGGGAAAGCCTGGATGGGGTAGAGAATCCACCAGACCTCCTTGGTGGCCTAAAGAATTACCATGGGCAAACGTGCGAATGGATGCAAGAAGTGAAGATGAAAAGCAAAAGGTAAAAGATAATTTGAATTTTGATTTGATAGATGTTTTCTTTAGCAGTTTGTTTTAGATTTCATGGACTCATGCTTTACGCCAAATAGTTATAAATTGCTACAAGTACCACGGTAGGGAAGACCTGCTACCAGCTTTTTCAGAAGAAGATGAAAAAGCAAATCAGGCTGCAACAGCAAACGCAAATGTCAGTACCTCGGTTGGTGTTTTAAAAATGCATTCTTTGGGCTCAGGCCCTACTCATAAAATACAGATCCAAGCTAACGGCTCTCCACAGATTATTGCTGCTTCGCCTGACGGAATGTCAGGTTCCTCAGCGCAGGTTTGCCTAGACCCTGCCGGCTATAGTTCAGACGTTGATGTTGGTAGCCATTGTAATACACTATTGATGTTGCCCTTTGTAGTTGCAACCATTTATTTACTTATTATTGACCTGAGTTTATATATTTTTCTTTTCGTAGAAATTCCAAAACCACTGTGTGTCCGTACGCTTCGTTTTTATTACGTTTTATTTATGTGGATGTCAGCTTGGTTTTGTTTTTATTTATTTAAGTAACTTCTCTCTTAATATTCACGTTCTTTGTATTTTTCTTATGAAACATTTTTTGTTTTTCATACAGTAAAAAACTAAAGTAGTTTTTAGTAGAAGTTACTTAAATGTGAATTTATTTATGATATAAATTATTANAACGTTTTTTATAAATAAATTTTGCATTTGCCATTTCATTTGTAAAAATTGTTATTGGGTAAGAAGAGAAAAAGTACAAATTAAATTTTTTGAACGAAATCGGGATTCTACTTTTCATGGAAATCTTCATTTTGTTACAAAACAGTATTATTAAAATTTTAAAATTGTCACTAAATAGTGAAAATGAAAAGTGGAAATACCACACTTATAATTATTAATTGATAATATTGTATTTTTTATGGATTATTAAGCAATGTTGATTGGTTGCAGATTGCGACTCAATTTACTCCGACTGTTTTGCATACCATAACGAATCCAGATGGAACTGTTAGTATTGTGCAGGTTGATCCAAACAACCCAATAATTACCCTTCCAGATGGCACAACTGCTCATGTTCAAGGAATGGCAACTGTACGTATAATAATCAGCAATTTATTTTGATTAGTAATTAGAGAATGCAAGTGCAAGTTAGTCAAAATTATTTTATACTGATTATCATTTATTTTTGCAAATGTTAGCTGTTGAAAATTTTTAGCAGTTTCCAGTTTGTCGTGGTTAGAATTTGTTTTTGTTTTTTATTTTTATTTTGATATCTACATTTTCAGGACAAGGGTCACAGACACCCAGGTGGTAGAAGGCAGGTTTGTATTTTTGTATTTCTTTCTTTTTTTTTTTTTAATTTTTGCTTTCATGTGTGTAAGTAGGTACTTTGCTGTGTGGATTTTTCTGTCGTTAGTTTTTGAAGTTCTAAATACCTTGTTTTTATTACTTAATTTTAATTACAAAAGAATGAATAACATGTTAGTAAGTGTATCTCTCCTCTGACTTTATAGAATTAGTTGTATCAACCCTGATTTCTGAAAAGTAATTATTAAACACTTGGCTTTTAAATTTAGTGTTTCTTCCTTGCAGTCAAATACTAAAATAGATATAATATCGCAAATTCCCTTGTAATATGTTCCAAAAATAAAAAAAAAAAATGGAGTTTACATTTTTGTTTCTTTTGAACGCCACGCTAAGGAATTAATTGTAAATTTCTTTGCAGATTCAGTCCACCCAAAGTGAAAATGGCACGCCAGTTCACACGATTCAAACAATAACAGAAGGTGGGGCACAAGGAGAAGTTGTCGATTTAAATTCAGTAACAGAAGCAACACTTAATTCTGAAGGCCAAATTATTCTCACTGGTGAAGATGGTCATGGTAAATTAGTACATGCAATTTATAACTGATGATGATTGTTCTTAATTTATTTTTACGTTATAGTTAGTGGAGTTATAACTGTACCAGTATCAGCATCCATGTACCAAACCATGGTTGCTAATATACAACAGTTGACAAGTTCAGATGGAACTGTATGTGTTACACCTGTTGTTCAAGTACCAAAGGTAAAATATTATCGTTATTTTACTTGTAAAATGCTCAATTACAAATTATAACAGGTCGAACCTACTGGTGGAGAAAATATGGAAACTTTAACTGTTACACCAACTGGTTTAACTCATTCCATGATGATACAAAATTCTGGGTCAGATCAACCACAGGTTTTACAGGTGTTATCCCTTAAGGACGCAACAGTGTTAACTAAAGCTATGGCTGGAATTTCAGATGTCAAAACTGAAGAAACGATTGTAAGTGATCCGTAAAATTTTAATAATTGAGGGTTAGACTGTACCATAAAAAATGCATTTCTATAACGGTATGTGTAAAAAGTATTTATGATAATTGATAAAGAATGGAGAGAAGTGTAAAGGCAGTGCAAACAGACTCACAACGAAATGTGGAATGTAAACTTAATGTGTCAAAAAAAATATCGTGAAGTTGTAGATATCTGCATGGGAAGAAAGTGTCAGATTATGTGTGTAAATATTGCAGAAATTTTAAATTTGACGCCATATCCCAATTCACTTTTGCAGATTTTATGTGTTCCTTACGTACGAAGTTTCAGCCGTTGATAAAAAGAATTGTAGAAATTACCACCTTTTTGTGTATATAAAGTTCGTAGATTATTAATTAAGCGAAAACCACGATCTTATTTTACTTAACGGTTTACTTTATAGTTTTTCTAACACCAAAATTTGATACAGACATATAGTTACACATTCATCAGATTTTAGTCTTTTTGATGTAACAATTTGTTAGTGTTGTTTTTATTTTTTATTAATTACAGTAGAAAAAAACATTTGGGTTTTTAAAGTAGTGTTGTTTTAGTTTACACAGTAGCAATTTTGCGGCAACATTTTTTTCTTATATTACACTTTTTTCTTTATACTAATTGTAGATATCTATTACGGGTATAATTTGATGAATTCTTCTTTAATGACGAGACACTGAGTGATACGAAATTATTAAAAAAATTAAGGTTTTATAGGTAATATTGTAAAGGTTTTCTACGCTTCGACAAATCTACTGTTTTATTAATTAATATTTCTTTATTATCAATAAACCTCGGTAACTGAAAACTTAATTAAAACTTATACATATTACTCTGAATATTTAGTTAAGGAAATATATTTGAAAAATTATTTTTTATTGTAAATTGAATTGGGATAGTACTTGATAGGAACAACATGTAATGTCTGCTTATAAGTAAGTTTATAAGTCTAGTCAGATTATCTTCAGATCAAAACAGACGTTCAACTTTGTGATAAATTCAGTAGTAAATGATTTACTATGTATTTTTACTTCCATCTTGCTGCATATCTTTACTGAGAAAATTATACACTTTTTTTGTTTTATAGATCTAACTCAATACTTGTATTGTTTAGTAAGTCAACTAAATATATTTTAAAACAGGTATAAAATTTGCATGAAATTAAATATACCTACATGGTATCGATAAAGTATTTTTCGGTACGTACCATTTTGACGTGTGAACTGAACGTTTTTTATAAATAAATTTTGCATTTGCCATTTCATTTGTAAAAATTGTTATTGGGTAAGAAGAGAAAAAGTACAAATTAAATTTTTTGAACGAAAACGTTTAATTTAAAATTCGTTGATGTTTCTAATAGGGTAATGTGTGTTAGAGCTATAAAACAGTGCGATTTTGTGTGAAAGTTAGAAACGTATACTGTATACTCCTGCTTTTAAAATCGTGTAATTTTACTTGTGTTCTTATCTACATTTTTCAAGTACTTGTAAAAAGTCGCTAGTAGAACGTGCATATTGTGGTTGAATAAGTTTTTTTATTAATTTCATAAATTTTGATATTTAATTGAAATGACGCCATTTGAAGTTCCATTAAGTAGATTACTTAAGTGGAGTATCTTGTCTGAATAAGTTGGTATTGTTGTAATTTTTAGAATTATTTACTGCTGTGTTTTTGAATAGATGTCATTCATTGTTTCGATGGTAAATTAATGTTATTTTTTGTACATTGGATGTATTAAGCTATCACTTGTACATTACTTCTGTCTAGATTCAGTTGTTACTAGGCATAATTGTTGGTGTTCGTTACAAATAAATTTGGTACATCAGCAGCACTGTTAGATGTGTTACCATTTTAATTTAAGGATCCCATTTACTTATTTTGTAGTCCAATTTAAAGTACATACCAAAAATTCAAACAACTATGACATATGGGCAATAATTCACGTGAGCTTTTGTTTAATTTTTTGTTATCAGTGGGAAATTCACTAATAGCCTTTCGTTTTTTTATACACGTATTAAAAGAGGCTATAAATAATTGAATTTGAATTTCCTATTGGTTTCCTACAGTGCCATTAACATTTTTTTTTGGTAGTTTCGTTTTAAAATTTGTATACAAAAGGTAACAGAGTAAAATGTTGTGCCAAAGGCAAAAATGTACCTTTATTTTATTTTTATAGCCAGTGTTAGTTTTAGTATGTATCAAAGTGTTACCATTGGTATTTAAATTAACATCTGTGTCGTCCCACACATAAACTGGTATGTAATACATACATCATGCTACAAAGTTCGTCCTTCCCATTTACCATGTTCAAGAGATAAATTCTGTTGTGTGTGGTGTATCAGATTCACCAAATTTAATGTGTCACTGTTAATGTATATTCATTATAAACAGTTATAGGGGTATTTTTGAAAATTTACTTTTGTAAGTTGACTTGTCAAGCATACAACAAGTCAGCATCATTTAAAATTGTTATTCAGTTCTAGTAATATTTTTTTATGTACTGTTGCTGCTCTGTACAATAAATCATTATTTACCTCAGTAAAAACTCTATCTGTCAGTTATTTCTGTATACTTTCAATTATTAATGATTATAGTTTAAGAAAACGATTACAAATTAGATAATACATTTATTTTTCACTAAAATAATAACAGTTATCTAAAATGCATACATTACAATATGTAATAATTAATGAATGTCAAACACAGATTTGAGAGCTAATTCTGGTTTATCATAGCCCAATTCTTCTGGTGTGTTTATGCCTAGTTCGTTAAGGGTGGGACGAATTTCTTGAATAATATATGGGTAAATTACTCCTACTTGATTTCCACATTTGTTTTTGATGGCTTCTAAAAATCTGACAGCTAAGGCAAAATCATTGATACGACGGCATGCTTTTAATGCAGCAGACACAATTTTTGGTTCAGGAACCAAGTCCATTCCACAAAGATCGTTCATCCCTTTACGTACCTCCCAACCATCAATGTCTTGTCTGCTGAAATATGCTTCATACCTAAACAATACAGAATTACATTAGTAAAGTTAAACAAAGGGTTATTTGTAAAGCTTCTATCTTAAATAACAATTAAAGCAGAATTTTACAGTTGTGTTTGCTTTAAATTAAGTAAATACAAAATTGTTTTCTGTAAGTAAGGTTAGAAAATTACGTAATTTACCTTCTATCGAATTCTTCGTCAGTTTCGGTAGAATGTTTTGACATCCATCTCTGAGAAATAGTTCCAGTAACTGGATTTACATTCGTATTAATGGCACATTTTGTAAAAGAGTGCATGCGACTAACAGCTGTGCGAAACATTTTTCCAGTTAAAACCAAACTGCAAAAATGGACGACAAGTGATAACTACAGTGACAAATGAGATTTGACGTTTGAGTTAGTAACAAACGTTGTACCATCTTATGTTCTGGTGTAAATATATAAAATAGAAAGTAACTAACTAAATTTGAAATGATACCGTAGGGTTGTATAAATAATTTTTTGATTGTATTTTAATTACTATATATGACGTTGAGAATTGTGTTTTAAAGTCAAACATGTATTTAATTATATCACACTAATACACTCTTTACATTAACAGTAACACGTAAGGGTTAAATTATTACCAAACTAAATATCATAGCGCAACATGTAACATCATCGTTTTACTCTTTTTTAGATAAGTAATTCGGTATACACTAGTTTTTAACGAAGTAAATTGATTGCTCACTTTAATCTGTTTGAAGATAACATTCGACGAAAATTTGTAATTTACATTTTCCGTATGCAAAATTAAAGCAATCTCTTAATCAGCTCAATTGTAAAATAGCTTTAATGGCTATTAAAACCAAGATATGTTTACATAATGTATGAAAGATATGCATCAAATAGCATTTAAAGACTTAAAGACAATTTTATAAATCAGGGCTAATTTGAAACTACTGGGATATTACGTTTTTCAAATCTACGCACATTCTGTGCTACATTTTTATTTTGATTGACTGTACATTTTTATTGTATTCAAAAAACTTTTGAAAACAATTTTAATAAGGTACTAAATTACAAGAAGTTTCATTATAATAATTAGTTAGATATCTTTTATTCGGATGTATGAATGAATTATTAATTTAAGTTCACCGTTTTATTTCTGTTCTATATAAATTAATTATAATAAATTTAGTATATTTTTCATAGGAAAAGCTTATGTCGCAAGAATGTTAGGAAAAAGTCAGCAAAGTATGCTTTGACTATAAGCTTACAATTAGTGAGGAAATTTAATTGTTTTTATTTTGCACCATTTGAAGGTAGTATTTATTCGTGTTAGGACATGGCTTGAATAAATATTTTATAGAAAAGTGATAAAAAATAATGTGCTTTAGTGATATTTCTGTCCTGGGGTATGTTCCGGTTGACCTTTAGGATAATGTAAATAATTTTTTTTTTTTTAATCCGTTAACTATTTGAATTATACAAATGTTTCAGTATATGTTGCACGCATGTGGTTATGATGAATTCGCAATAATTTATTATTATTATCTGTATATGCATATGTATGTGTTGTGTATTAATATATGTAGTTACAAAGACACTCGTCAAAGGTGTATGTATTCAACATTTTATAAATAACCATCGGTACTATTTCGATTTTTTGTTTTCTCATTGACATGGACTAACTAAGGTTAAATATTTGAGAGTTTAATTAGAATTTTAAACTCGACTTGAGGCTATAAAAGAAAATATGCAATTTATGTCTGTCAGCTGAATATGCACTGTTTAAATTTTTATTTGATCGTTTAAATTGCATTAACGCAGAAATATTTCCGATCCAAATCACTCGTAAAGAGACAGTGGACTCTTCAATAATAATCTGGAAGGATGATTAAATATTTTTCTCTTAACTATAAAGATTTAGGTGTATGCAAAAAAAATGTACCTAAGGCAAATAAAATAGTAGATATAGCACGTATTTAATATTTTTTTTTTCCAATTAAATTTAAAGCCAATATAGGGTAAAAACCACCGACGTTTCACCTTATTACAAAGCTAGGTATAATAAAGTTTATCATGTTTTTTTTTTACGATAACTTGTTTATCTAAGTATATATTTTAGGAAAAAGACTGAAAAATT